CTTGTGGAGTTGGGCCCTCGTTCTGAAGAGACAGCGCCCCGCCTCCTTCCCTCCGCCTCCTCCTCCTCCTCCTGTTCCTCCTCCTCCTCCTCCTCTTCCTCCTCCTCCTCCTCCTCCCCCTCCCCCTCCCCCTTCCCCCTCCTCCTCCCGCCTCCAGTCGAATGGTACCCTGTTCTGCCCATGTCACCCTTTCTTTGCCTGGGCCCGACGCTGTTTGCCTCAAGCCTGCAGCGTTCCGTGCCCGCCTTTTTCGCTCTTCAGGTCATTCACATACCGGACCCTCCGGGTTGAGGGACAGCATCCATTTTCCACCTCATTTCTCACAACCCATTTTACAGTTGGTAAGAGCTCCGGCTCCAAAACCACGGCCGCAATGACTTCTCGCCACCGCCTCGTTTCGATAGCACAGGTTCCACCGTTTCTGCCGCTTTCATACCCGCTTTCAGGCATCCAGCTGCTCATTCCGCTGGTCATGTCGCTCATCGTCGGCCTTTTATCGCCTTCGTGCATTTTTCCCGTTTACCTTCTGGCAAACCGACCCTCGTCCTCCAGGACCAGTGACCAGAAAAACGTTCACAACCAATGCGGACACAACGCGCGAACGAGACCTTCAAAGACCCTGGCCACGCGCTTGTTTTTTTTGGGCGGTCCTTTCCAGGCTTGCAGTGGCTGTGTCAGCGCAGCTCGCGGACCCTACGCCTTCGTTGCGCCCGTTTGTGGGAGTCACCACGAACGTCGGGCAGCTTTTCGATACAACGTTGACATTTACGGTGTCGGTGAAGGATCCCGAGCTTTTGGTGACTGTGTCACGAGAGCCCTGGGAGGTTCAGGCAGAGAAGAGCGGGGAGGCAGTCGGGGGTCTGGCGACTGTGTCGTCAGCATTCCGAGGGACAACGAAACAGATATAACAACACCCGTCTTCGATTTCTTGGAGCGTTATTTTCACCTTACCCACGCGCTCCCTGTAGGTTGTCATGACTGGGCTCCGATACCCACTCCTCTTGACGATATTACATTCGCGGTGTTCAACACAGTGGCAATACGACGTACGAGGAATTCTCCCGTGACTGTGGCAAGGGATGTTCGGAGCACCGACAGCCCCGCAACCGCACGACGGAAGCATGCGCCCAATACGCAAACGAGGATGGACACATCCGGGGCAAGTATCCATGGAGACTCACAGGCGCCTTTCCCGAGCAGCGCCGCTGGTGGATCCCCGGCCCCCAGCACGTTTACGACGCGCGGAGGGAAGTACACTCCGGATGGAAGGCCATCGGGGTGGGCATGATTGCCATCACAAGCTGTTTTTTCTGCATGGGCGCAGGCGGCGACAGCGGCAACTTTCGTCGCCTCCGCTCATGCGGGCCCAAGCAGCAGGCTCGCGTGCCCTCCCATAGATGGGCGCGCGAGGTGATGATCAGGTCAGTGGCGAACTCAGATTTCTTTGAATTTTGCCGGGCGGCCGACGCCGCGCCTCGCTGGCGTGGCGCGCGAGTGCGTGGACGAATCGCCGCCGGTTGTCCTGGCCCAGGGGGATTCATCAACGGGAACCCGACACCACCGATGACCTTCCTAATGCACAGCATGGCCGAACGGTGGGGCCGATAGGGCGAGGAGCAGCGCGCTTCGGCAGTGTCGGCGCCATTGAACATCGACGGACTGCCGCATGATATCGCAAGAGCGCATTGACAACTTCCCCACGTGGTTCCACATCCTCCGCAGTTGGGCGCGCCAAGCTGGCCAACTCATGATCGGCTACGAGCGGCCTCAGCTTCCTCCTTCTGCGCGCCGTTGGCGCGTTGAACATCCAGCTGGCCATGGTATTGCAGCGCTGCGACCTGGCCTACCCCGCGGACGCAGCGCAGCTCGCGCGCGCGCGACGGGCCATCTGCGACGCTTCGGGCACACGATCGAGGGGTCGCCAGGCATCGTCGCCTCGGCGGCCCACTCTGTCCAGCAGCACACCTTCCTCGATGGTGCGCCCGCGCAAGATCAGGCTCGGGGCGCTCGTGGCACTGCGGCAGGATCGAGCAAGGGTGCAGGGCCCACCTGCGCCAGCAGCCGCCGGCAACGTCGGCGCGGCGTCGCCAGCGCTGGGGGCCCCCCCAGCAGCAGGCGTCGACTCAGGCACCAACGCCGACGCCGCCAGCTCATCTGGCAAAGACGCTGCCGCGGACGATCCCGAGCTACGCGACGCTCCCGTTGAACAGCGCGGTGCGTGCTTCTTTTTTGGGCTGCGCCGCGTCAACCCCGCGGGCCTCCTGGCGGGGCGGGCCTCAAGTGCCGCGAGTGCGACTCCGAGGAGCGCCTCGTGCTCGACAGCCCCCGGCGCCGCCGCCGCGGGCGCGCGCGCCGATGCCCCGGCGCCGCCATCGCCGCCGGCATCCTTGCCAATTGTGCTTCTGAGACAGCGGGGGCCGCCAGGTCTACCTGGGCAGCAGCCCGCGCCAGGGGCGAACGCAGCGTAGATGGCCAGGGGCGCCCCCCGGGCTCCGCAGCCCGTGGTTCCGTGCGCGGGGGAGGGCGATCCCGCGCAGAGCGCTGGTCCCAGGGGCGGCGGTTGGTCGATTCTGATTGCGCCAGCGCCGCAGCCAGTTGCGCCAGCAGCCGTTCCATGCGGGTCGTCGGGCGGCTCTTGGGAGCAGGTTGGCCATGGCCATGGGTCACGCTTGGCAGGTGCATCGTCTTGCTCGTCGCCCCCCCCCCCAGAGCTCGCGACGCCGAACTGCTGCGTCTATTTGCGACGGGAGATGGCAGAACTCGTGGACCGCGCGCAAGTCCCCGCGCGACTGCGTCGCCGGCCCGCGCGGGGGAATCGGCGCCGTCGCCTCGGCGGCCCCTGGGGCATCGGCAGCGCCGATAGCCCCAGCAGCTTCAACGGCGCCGCCGCAACCGACGCCGCAACGATGGACGAGAGTGGGCGGCGCTTGCCCACAGGGGCAAGCTCGGGGGCGCGATCGGGTGGGCGACCTCAACTGGCGAGTCGCCGTGCCTCCTGCCCCGCCTGCCGAAGTGCAGTTGCCGAGCTCGGCGTCAGCGCCCCGCGTGGATCGAGCTCCACGTGGCCGCCGCAGTCCGCGCTGGTCGTCGCGCCGCCGCCGGTGCCCCATGAGCTGGACCCATTTGACCAGATCAGCCCCGTCGACGTGAGCCAGCCGTCCGGGGGAGCGGCCACGCGGTTCGCCCGCCGGCCGCGAGACCTGAATGACCAGCGGCGGCAGATCCGAGCGCAACGCGGGCATCGCCCTCGGCCGCGCGCGACGACAACACCTCGACGGGCTCCGCGGCGCACAGGTAGCACTTGAGCTCATGCGGCAGCAGGGCGAGCAGCGACGTCATGCCGCACGGAGTTGGCCAGAAACCCTTGTTAATCCGTGCCGGCCGCAACTCCTGCCGAGCCTCCCTCGGTCGCGGTTTTCACTGGCGACGATCAGGGGCGCCCCGTCTGCTTCGAGGCTGTCCCAGCGCGGCGAGAGGGTGGCGGCGCGCTTGCAGCGCAGTCGCATCTTGCGACGTGCGTGCCATCTGCAGCTCATGCAGAGCGCAGATTCCCGATGGGCGCACTGCGTGGCGCGCCGCGGCCCGGCCCCCGGCCGAAGTCATCGCCGATTTCCGTCGGGTCCGGCGTCGGCGGCGTCGGCCCGCGCGGCGGCGGGCAGGGGCGTGTTGGAGAAGGCCCCGCCACAGCAGGACATCGCGCTGTCTCCTCGACCGGCCCCTGGCCCTCGGCCAGACCTCATGCAATCGCGGGGCAGCGCGTCCTGCTTCGCGTCCGCCGCGGACGCGGCGGTGCCCTGCGACGCGCGCCTGGACCTGCGCGCATCGCCGCGCGGGCCGGCGCCCCCATGGCGGCCGATTTCGTCGGGCACAGGCTCGAGCGCATCGAACATTTCGCCGCGTTGCCTGGCGAGCTCCGATCCACCGGGCGGGGTTAGGCGTCATAGTCGACGACGCCGGCGCCTGGGCGAACTTCTGGGGGTCGCGCTTCGCTGTGAATTTGGCCCACGAAGCCCAGCCGGCGAGGCTGGCGCCTTCCGTGGAGAAGACGTCAATCCCGCAGTGCGTAGTTGGAGTTGGCAACGGGTCACAGGTAGCGAACTGGGTGGTTCACTGCCCCATCGCGACGACATCCGGCGACGGCGCGACCACTCAGCACGGCGCGCGCGCCCCGGCTGGGGAAGGGCGCAGGCGCTGACACCCCCGCCCCACTAGCGTGCCCCATTAGGTCTGCAGTCCACGCATCCCAACGGCGGGGTGGTGGAGACAGGCTATGAGAACACATGCGCCTCGCCTTCCCTGGGCCTGGCGGCTGCGAGATCACGTGGGGCCACAGCGCCGCCCGCTTCGATCTGGCGTCTGCGCCGAGCGAGCATTTGATGCACCCCTGTCGACGACTTCGGCAAGCTTCGGCCGCGTCCCGGGGATCTGCTGCCCAGCAGCTCACGCTGCCGGCCCACGCTGCTGGCGGTGGGCAACGACGGCCAGGACAGCCGCGCCACCGACGGCCGCGAGCTCAAGAAGCTGAAGATCCAACTCCTCTGCGTCAACGCACGGGCACCCTCGCAGGGCGCCCCCGGGGCCTCGGGCTACGACCTTTACGCCTGCGCGGACGTCAGTATCGCGACCTGTGTGGTCGTGAACTGGTGCCGACAGGCTTGGCGGCCCTCGCGCCACTGGGCACGTGCCTTCGCGTTGCCCCTCGCTCGGGATTCACGCTCATGGGCGTCGAGTCGATGTCGCGGGCGGCGCGGTGGGCCCCGACTTCCGCGGCGAGATCGAAGCAATCGTGCCGAGCGCCAGCCCGCGGACGCGCGCGGTCGATCAGGGCCACCGAATCGCCCGACTCATCCTGGGACGCATCATCGACGATGCCGAGATCGTGGCCGTGCTCAACCTTCCTCCGTCGCCTCGTGGATCTGGAGGCTTTGGACGCACGCGCCGGCATGGCGCCCGTCGGCCAAGACTCCACCGCGGGAGCGGGGGGCTTTGCGACGCCCGAA